TGACCCCTTATTCTCCTACACAAGGGATTATGAGAGTCATTATTGTCCAGGTCCCTGGTACCTTTGCATTTAATTGCATCATAATCATAACTTGAGAGATAATCACTGCAATATACGGAAGGATCGGGGCGAATGCCATCGCTTAAAGTGTGTTTAGACCTAAAAAATAGTGTCAGTTCCGATACTAGGCATAGTATTTTGCCATGCTCAAAGCCACGGCACAGATATATTTTTTCATGTTTAGTTATAATTTAAGCCTCGCTAGTCGCTGCGTTTGCAGCGATTGCTTCTCTCAAGTGCTTTGCGGCGAAGCAGACGCACAAGATATTTGAGAAAATAGTTTTGGGCAGGGGCTTATGTCGCGAGGCCTTTGTCTTTCCTACTTACAGAGCATTGCGATGTCCCCGACAAGGATCAGCTGGAAGACAAGCTAGACAAGCTAATCCGAAATCTCCCCCATGAGCACGTGGCCAACCAGACAAAACTAGAAATACTGCCTCGCGCCATCTTTTTAGAAGAGGGAACTCTCTATGGCCTCGACCTCCTCGAGCAAGACAGACCCTACAAGACGTTTTGCCGCGGAAAGGACACAGTCACCGTGTTCAGCGTTCGTTCCAGGTTCTCAATGCGGATGCGAATCCCCTGGAGTCTTTGTTCGGGACACAACGGCACCATCATCTCAAACGCTCACTTTGTCAGGTTTGAGGGAGAGCTCGTGACAACGAAAACAGACTCAGGCACAGAATATAGAATCAAAAATGTGTTTCCGGTCGTACTAGAAGGCTTGTACTTCGGAATGATCGGCGGTGGAGATATTGTGTATGCAATTTCGAGCGCGCTGGGAGTTATCCTTTCTGGACTCGTCAGAGTACTTTGGGTCCAAGGAATAACACCTTTCGTCGAAGATGCGTTTCAGCAAGCTCTGAATGAACTGAATTAATCCCGCACGTGTCCCCGCTTCAAGAGTCATTCACCTGTTCCAAGCACAAGCTGGTTTCACGGCGCTTAGCATCACGATCGATTTTTTGAGGGCGTCTCTGTAAATTATTTCAATAAAATATAAAAAAAATATTACCCATTGTTTCTTCTACTATTCTTTTGAATGAGTAGTTCCTAAAAATTGTATTGAAAGAATATCCCTGTATTCTAGAATACGGTTTCAATTTCCTCCATCCCTTCTGCTACATCGCACAGATAATAATAAGGTATTTCTAATCAATATTAACATTTCGCGATGCTCGCATGGAATTGTGGAGGCAAGTGGCGTTTATTTATGAAGAAACAATTTGCACTTTGGTTTTCTATAAAAAAAATAGCCCAGGTGTTTTAGTCATTGGCCGCTAGGAAAAATTTTAAATTGTCTCTAAAACAAAAGCGATCTAAGGCGACGAAAGGGGGCGATTTTCCCCCATTACGCCCCTCAAAAATAAATTTTTAACGAGATTCTCCAGTCGTGCTCAGAAGAAATGATTGCTTTTTGGTGAAATGGCGAATATTAGATTAACAAGATTGATCTGGGCGACGCTTTGCCAACGATGTTACATCCCTCTCTAACGTCAAATCTCTCTGCAGAACCCCTGTTCCCTCCAGCAAAAGTCCCCCTCCCCACCCTCCTTCTACCTTTTCCAAGCCTGACCCACATATCCGCCACTACAATAAAATGCTTAGGTGGGCCAGTTGGTACATCGTGGGAAAATAAGCGCCAAAAAAACACGGACAAAGAGTAGATTGACAACGACACAGGGCGCACTCTCAACTGAATTTATTAGGAAAAAACACAAACTTATATACCAATGGGAGCACACTATCAGACACCACACGTCACGTTAGTCTCCGCCCAGACCACGTTTCAAATATTCAAACTCATTCGTAGACAGAGCCAATGATGTATCGCTAATGCATTTTTTACCCCCTCTCCTAATCTCAAATGCCTCGTGAAGCTCGCGTGACACTTTGTTTCTGTACCTCGCCAATATTTTAGTGCTGTCAAATGATGGGTCGCAAGTGCATCTTTTGCAATGTACAGCCAAATGCCCTGACGGTGTAGTTCTAGTTGAAGCGGCGTGCTCGCGGACCCGATCATTAATACACCTTCCAGTCTGCCCTACATGCAGGAGAATTAATGATCCACAACCGATAACCGACCCGTGCCATACCAAGCACAGGAATAAGTACACTGATTGCGCAACCGCCGTCGTTTATGAAATACCAATGACGTGTGGTTTAAGCTATGTAGGGCAGACTGGAAGGTGTATTAATGATCGGGTCCGCGAGCACGCCGCTTCAACTAGAACTACACCGTCAGGGCATTTGGCTGTACATTGCAAAAGATGCACTTGCGACCCATCATTTGACAGCACTAAAATATTGGCGAGGTACAGAAACAAAGTGTCACGCGAGCTTCACGAGGCATTTGAGATTAGGAGAGGGGGTAAAAAATGCATTAGCGATACATCATTGGCTCTGTCTACGAATGAGTTTGAATATTTGAAACGTGGTCTGGGCGGAGACTAACGTGACGTGTGGTGTCTGATAGTGTGCTCCCATTGGTATATAAGTTTGTGTTTTTTCCTAATAAATTCAGTTGAGAGTGCGCCCTGTGTCGTTGTCAATCTACTCTTTGTCCGTGTTTTTTTGGCGCTTATTTTCCCGCCACTACCCTGAGGATATAATACAATTATTTTGTATTTCCCAAGCTTCCGACTGGTTTGCACGAAAGCAGTTATGCACGAGAGACATATCTAGCTGTTAATCATGCAGCTAAATTTACGTTCTTCCTTTGATACGAGAAGTGATCAAAAAGTTCTGCCATTCGACTGAAAACAAAAGTCTGAGAGTGATCTCTTTAAAACTTGAGATAGCTCACCTCTATGCCAAAACATGATCGCAATATCAACCCTTCCGGTCCATCCCTTATTCTGTATCTAGCAGTTTGTTAGTGATGCATTATGTATCAGTAATGAAGTTTTTTGTGTAAAAAAGGTCCGGAAGAAAAATCACAATAGAATGGTAAATGTGCATGAAGGCCTTCATATGCTACAGTACGTCGTACCTTCAACGAGTTTAAAAGAGGTCTTCTGGTCGCGCAAGACGGCCAAAGACCAGGGCGGTCAAGCACTTCGACTTATTAGGATAATTCAGCCAGAGATAAGAGGCTGATAATGAAAAATTGCCAATTTAAGGTGTCCGAAGTTTGAGCATTTCGTATAACAGAGCTTTCACAATCATTGATGACGTTCGGGGTATGTAGAATATACCGGCACGATGGGTGCCACGAAACCTCTTGATGCAAGATCAAGGGAGCTTTCGAGCATCTATGATGGAGCCCCAGAATATTTTCTTGACCATGTTTTAACTGGGGATGAGACGTAGTTTTACCGGTTGGACCCATGAGCATGACGTAGAGTTCCTTGGTACCTTTTTTTACAAGTAACGATACCAATACTAATGGCAAAGCACATACCACTAGAACAAAATGGCGTCGTTCAGTTTGATCTTCTGTTGTGCGCCACCATTCGCTTCCTAAAACCTGCATCGTCACGCAGTTTGCGCTTCAAGGGAATGTAGCTACTTGTAGGAAGCTCCGATCTAGGAACTTTAGCGTGACCTCGTTGATCACCATAGCGGTTGTTCTGAAACGTCATCACGTTTTTTCACCAACAGATATGGAGGCACGTTGTTCTTGCCTTCCGGAAACAGCTCAATAGGTCCCTCCCCTTTGAGGTCTGTAGCAGGCTGGGGCGATGCTTGTTCTGGTGACATTGAAAAACTCGGTGTTCGACTCGGTGGTGCACCAACAACAATGTCTAGTGGTTGCCTTGCAGCTGGGTCTTGATGAGGACGCAGTTGGTCGATGTGGCGTCGAACCGCAGCCGTTACCTGATGTCACGTTACCTGACGTCACGTGACCTACAAACATGCAGTTTCCCCGCTAAATATAGCGAAAAAAAATATGTCACGTGACACACGAATCCCTCACGCCACACCTCTCCTCTCTTTCATTTATTTGTTTCTTCCTGCCCCTTCCTGCTCTTAGATAACTCTATGTTATATTGCTACCAGGCTGTTTTACAGCATTTCATGCATTATGTTTATCATTATATATATTTATTTATTTGGTACTTCCAGTGAATTTTGGCATTTAGTGGGGGGCGGGGGGGGGAGGGGGGAGAGAGATAAAAAAGTGATACGAGCAAAAAAAAAAAAAAAAACATGCAAATTATTAGGTAAGCACCTTCGACAAATTTTTAATACCTCGCGAGATCAAAAGTACTTCACCACTCCTTGCGACATCCATGGCACCCTTCCGATTTTGCGTCTCTCAACGCACTCAATCACACTTCGCGACAGTTAAAAGAAATAAACGATACACGAAACCTTATCGCTCTGAGTACACCAAGATCTGCAGCACCTATGCATAAAAATAATTATAGTCTATACTGTGTTAACCTCTGGCTGGGATTTATCCTTTACGCAATCATATCAATTCAATGTCCCTACCGTTTCAAAAGCAGTATAAAAAGTATCGTTTGATAAAGCAAAGACAAATATTGAAAGTAATTTGTTCTACTTGCGCACTGTTTTTGGAAAACAATAGAACTCTCAAAGTCCGCAGTGTTGCACCTCTATTCAGTCACTTTAGGTAGGTTTCACGTGGGATGCCAGTATTGCAATCTGGTTGGTAGTAATTCAGGATTTTAGGAGTTCAGCTTTCAATTGTCTAGAAATTGTTTTCCTTCTGTGTATCTGCTAGTCAAATTTGTATTTTTCCGCCCGCGCGCCTGCTGGGTAAATTCCTAATACTATTTATTGCCACGTTTCGATACTTGTGAACTCCATTATAATATTTATCTTTCTAATTAAATGATGGCTTTAATTAAAGAACCGTTGTTTAAAAAGTTACGCCCTCTTTATTGGCAAGGCCTCGCCGGGGTGTAGTCCTGTCGACTGGTCAGCAGAGGCCAGATTCACGAAACGATCTTACGCCAAAAGTGTTCGCAAGACAAAACTTAAGAACAAATTCGTATCCATGAAACGAAATTTTCGTAAGTTTTGCGCAGGTTACGACGAAATCCTACTACAGCTCCAAAGCTGGCCTAAAGGGGCCCTGCAACAACTTTTCGACTGGTTTTTAATTTGCACCGAACATGAGCGCACTCAACGTAGAAACTTAAAGAAACTTTTATTTTCTAAAATTTCGCTTCATTTTTAAAGTTATAGGCATATAAGAATTACAAAAACAAGCAAAAAATAACATCCTTCATGACGTCGTAGGTCCTGGCTTGAGTGGCCTTGAACTAGAGGAGGAGTAGTGAGCTCATCGAGCGCTCACGGCTGCCGCATTCCGTGTCGACGGCTCGAGAGGGCGCCACTAAAACGCGTGTTAGATAGGCTGTATGAAGCGGGCGGCCAGGGCGGCTCACATTGCATTTGCTGCGCAATTAAAGACTAATTCGGCATAACACTTTATTGGCCACAAACGACAGCAATCACGGGGTAAAGATCAGTTCAGAACGGGAGCCACCTCGAGCTGCCACACCGCGAAATGGCCAAATCGCCAGCCAAGCCCGCGCCAAAAGCCTTCGGAACGCTCGGAACCGGTCGGATCCTCGAGCCGGTATACGACCGCAGCGCCGCCGCGTGCATCCGGGACCTTTTCACACTCGTCGTTCGTCGGAACCTCATCCCACTAGCCCTTTCTAGATTGCGCCGTTTTTTGCGCCGCTTGGTGGCGGGTTTGTCGACAGGGTTTTCTTGTTTCCGTACCTTATAAACTGCATTTGTTTCTTTTCTGATCTAACCGTACTGAACAAAAACTACTTTCATACATAATTGAAACGGTTTGCGACACTTATATTTTGTATCTCAAAAAAAAAAAAAAAAAAAAAAAAAAAAGCTTTTCGCGGTTTTGATTAGTAGTAAGCCCAGGACCAAATACGTCACATATCGCGCGCTTTCGGCAACGCGGGTCGCCCTCGTAGGTGGAGGACGTTCCCGTGTCGTCCGGTTAAAATATGACTCACTGATATTTAGTTACTCTCTCCGTGCCCGCTGTCTTGCCCGAACCCCAAGAGACGTGGAAACCGCAAAAAAAGGCAGACGCCTAAATATGATTGCAGGACACCTTTAAGCACTTCTTACGATCAAATCAGCATTGCCAACAGTGTCGCTCAGTTGTTGCTTGCGACGACCAACGGACGTTTATTTTTCTCCGTGTGAATTTAGAAACGTAAGCAGTTATTGGCGGGTGACAGGAAATAGCTTCAGGGGCACTCCCGGTCTGTGTAGTGGCAAACGACAATATTTACGGCGCGCGAAACCCGTTTATAATGTCTGGACTGTCTATAACTTCATCACTCGACGTTGGTCGCATCAGATCATACCTCTCCGAACCTCCGGATGCTCTAGGGATATTTCAATCCAGGTAAGGCATACTCTATAGACTGTTTGATCCTTCAAATGGGTATACATGATTCTGGCTTGATATTTAAACTAAACTAGGGAAGTCATTGTTTAGAAGTTTTGACCCGATCAATCGCCTTCATTTATTCAAGTAATACTATGGATTAATGGAGTCGTCTATTTCCAGGCATGAGATACAAAAAAGAGTGAATTCACAATTCTTGACCCTGCTGATTCCCCTTTCGGATCAACCGAAAGGGGAACAGAGACTAAAGGCAGAAAATGCCTGACGAAGGTCTCTGTCCTCTTTGCATTTCGTACATACGGTACACTGTATAGTAAACACTCATGCAGTTGTAGAACAATCAGCAATTCAAATAATGTCATAGCTTTATAATACATCATCATGAGGATCGCAACTAGTAATATAGATTGTGAAAGAAACTTTTTCACAAGTTCAAAAAATAAGAACCATCAAATTGTACATGTATAAAAATGGCTATAAAACAGTGTCACTGCCCACCAAGAGTGTCCTCAGCTCTTTTTTAAATTTAGAAAAAGAGTTATTAAAATCCACGAAGGTCCCAATTGAATTTAATAATTTGGTCACCTGATAATCTTTAGTTTGCTTTCCGTAATTTGTTCGAATCTGTGGGGGTCGTCTTAAAGAGTGCCAAAAGGTGTATCTGTGCTCTACATCACTTGTATTTTTATCATAAAGTTTCTCAGTTTTGATACGTTGCATTAACTTGAAGTCATAAATTTGGTTAGCCTTGAGTATACCATGTTTTTTAAAACATGGGATAAACGGCTCAATATGTCTTCTGAACTGGGGATTTGATCGTATGCGCGCTTAAGTATGAAGTGAAGACGCTTAAATATAATCAGTGTATAAGCTGAGGCAAATAGTTTCTTCGATATTCTTCCACAAAAGTGCTTTTAGTTTTGGTTTAGCAGACAACAGCAGTAGGAATCATCCCCCCCTCCCCCGTCCCCGTTTCCCTCGTACTTTTATTTCGTTTGGTTTAAATTTAATTACTCGGGGAAGCAATATCGATCGTAATCGATCTTATTCAGAAGTTGAATTCATCAATCGTACAGCAGTAGTCTAAATATTGGTAAAACGTTTGCAATTTGGTGCTTATGTTGCGCAGGACTCAGTGGATGCAATCTGTGTATATTTGACAGGCGTTCGAATATTTGATTTGTGAATTGAAAACGATTATTGATATTTAAAGAAGTTATCAGCACACAAAAACAAAGAGAAAGAATAAAGACAAAAAGAATACAAGCGCTGACTCAACTAAACATTCATCCATGTTTACATGTTTAGCTGAGTGTCCGCTTGTAAAATATTTAGGTTCTTTTTAGTTTATTCAGGTGCATGATGTATATGTATGTATATTTTGATATATGTATAATTTCAATATTGCTGCTACGACTGCTGTAACGCGTTTAAGTGGACAGAAGCCTCGTCAGGTAGCTTCTCCAACCATTTCCTGCTCCCTCTCTTACATTTTATTATGTCTAATATACTTCTTAATTGATCCCTTCTTCCCACGCTGTTTACACCCTTTTGTGACAATGAACCAAGTCGCCCACATCGCCCCTTTGATAATTATGTCTGAAAGTCCGAGTCAAAGAATATTGTCAAATATATATTAATATATCTGCATCTTCAATGAATATACTACCGTGGGTCCCAACTAGCGGCCAGGGTCTTTAAATCGACCGCAAAAATCGGTTTCTTAACCTATCGCGTTACGATTTTGTGCAGCGTTGCCCACAGATGGCGCTTTTCCTTTTTCTTTTTGTTTAATTTGTGATGAGTGAACTTACCTGAGGAAAAAGTAAAGGAAGAAAAAGGCTTAGCTCCCATGTAAATGCAGCGATTCCACCGGTGTTGAAGCAATACGGCGCCGTTTTGCACAGGAGACAACAGATGGCGCCAACGGTCGCGACGCCAACGAACGAGCATACGGCGCCAAGAGCCGGCGTCTTTAGCAAACGATCTTTTCGACTCAAAAGCGGCGCGCGTTCCGCAGGTGGCGACAGTCGCAAGAACAAAAACAGGCACGGTAACAACAAGGAACTCAAAAGCAAACGACGTATGTACAAAAAAAAAAGAAAAAAAAACAGTTAAAGTAACCGTACAATTCATTGTGTTTTATTAGTAAGGATGATAAAATAATGCATTTGCAACTGATATGAAAAAAGCTCACGCCGCTTTTGAGTCGAAAACATCGTCAGCTATATACGCCGGCTCTCGGCGTTATAGACGCTTTAAACACGCGCAATATTGAGCCGCCATTGCCGACCTTCTCTTGTCTTGCCAAAATGTGGAGCCACTGAAGCGGGCGCTGACGAGCCTCCTCAAAGGCATATGCAAGAGAGAAGGATACACTAGCACCTATAGGGGCAGTAACCTGTCCTGCGGTGGCAATAAAGAAGTGAAGCGAATGAAATAAGAGGAAACAAAAACTGAAGGTCGGTTATGGCGGCGTCCATGCACAGATGCCTGAAAGCGTCTATATGCTCGTTCGTTGGCGGCTGTTGGCATCGCGACCGCTTGAGCTCTCTTTTTTCTCCCGTGGTAAACGGCACCGTATTGTTTGAAGACCGCTGGCTTCCCTGCGTATGCATAGGAGCTAAGCCTTTTTCTTTCTTTATTTTTCCTCCGGTAAGCTCACTCTTTTTACAAAAAAATTGCACCGTCAGTGCGCAACGCTGCACAAAATCGTAGCACGATCGGTTAAGAAACCAAATTTCGCGGTCGATTTAAAGAGCCTGGCGGCTAGTTGGTACACCCGGTAGAATATTGAAGAGGGCTATTTATTTAGTTAAAAATATAACTTTAATATAAACTCTTGATGTGCTACTTTGAACAAGGATCGCGAGGAATGAGTGTAAAATATGTTACTATCATGCTATTTGTTACAGCAAAGTTGTGAACTAGAATGGCATTCCTTGTGACTTTCCTGACGCTACTTTGTTTCAACCTAGTTTGGACTGAGGATCTTCCAAAATCAGGTAAATCTATATCTTATGCTTCCGGGCATTTATTTTATTATGAGATATTTGAATGCGTAAACGTTACCTTTTGTTTATGAAAGAAACAAAATTCAATGCGGAATATTTTTTCAAATAACATCTAAAATAGTTGTGTATACCTGGTTTCTATTCTTCTTACGGCACATTGAAATATATATATATATATATATATATATAATAAACGAGTCAGCCGTCGTCTCAATCCAATTAGAATTTAAAAAAAAGGAAAAATAACGTAATGCTATCAGAGGTGGTGACATTGGTAATACCTTTGATAAGCATCTGCTGTCAGCTCACACTGGGATGGCAGAGCGGCCAAATTGACGCATTTGTTTTCAGTTTTGTAGAGAATCATATCTGGGTATGAAAGAAAATTGCAAGAGATAGTGATAGGGAGGAGTGGTTTTTTACAAGTCCCATCAACTGCGTATGCTGAGGTAGTGGGGCTGCGCTACACACGAAAACGTCTGGAGTAGGGTAGGGTGCCTACATGTTTCCGCTGCGCTTTAGGGTGGCGCCAACTTCTTGTTACCCTTTCGCAGATCCTCTCCCACCGCCATTTTGACCCACTTCTTATTTGGCTAAACGTACACAACGTTGAGTTTTCGTAGTTTCGACACAGCGGCTACACTGTGAGGCCGCTTCCGTTTCCGTTCATAAGAAGAGTCGGACGAGTCGGAGGCTCAGCGGGATGGCGGTCGTCGTGCTGGCTGTCGCTCTCATTATTCGGGTGTTTCATACTTTGAAGTTGCGAGCAGGAAGTATGCGTTGCGTTTATCGAAACGTGAGTCCTCTCGACAAAATGGAACGCAACAGAACGGCACCGCACGCCGAAACCTCGCCGTCGGAACGAGAGCGGTGGGTGCTCCCTAGCCCTAACGAGGATTAGCGGAGTAGCGCGAGCGCACGACCGGCGAGTGTGACAAAATGGTCGACGAAACAGCGGAGGCTGCCATGGTAACGATGTAGGCAACACTGGTTTGTCGGCAACAAGTATCACAAACGTTGTCGCCACCCTAAACAGCGGAGCGGCAGAAACATGTAGGCACCCTAGAGTAGGGAGCCTTCATGTGCGCTTTGCTAGGGTGATGCCACCCTTTGTAATACCACTCGCCGACAAACCAGCAGCCATTTTGTTCCTCGGCGATAATCCGTGGGGCTTATAACCCTCCCGGAAACAAGCACCTTATCTCAGAAGTTCGGAGCAGCGTTGTGGAACCCACGGAGGGAGGATTAGCATTTTCCCCCTCGGATGGGATTACCGATGGACACAAAGGCCACTTTGCGGCGCACGGGGGAACAATGAGAGGAACAAAATGGCGGTGGAAGAGGGTGTGGGAAAGGGAAACAGGCAGTTGGCATCACTTTATGCGAAGCGCACATGAAGGCACTCTAGTCTGGAGCGTCTATTTTCCGGCAAAGTGCTTAGTGTAAGTTGCGACACTAAGGGCCGGTTGCACCAACAGCGCTTACCTTAACCCAAAGCGGCACTTTCCTAAGCCGGCTTAGCGCCCTAAACCGAGCTCATGTAAGCACGGGTTTAAATTCCGGTTGCACCAACGTTAAGCCGGCTTTACAGACGCGCCCCTAGCTAAACGCTGGATTTGCGTAGGGAATCTAGGGGCAAACAGAGCGAACTAGGGAACGCTTAGAGGGACGAATACGATTGGCGGAGAGGAATCACGTGATGTAAAAAACGAAAACAAAAAAACTGCGGTAGTAGTCGTCGTCGGCGTCTGCTTTTCGCTGTATTTCTTCGGTGAGTAACAAATTAAAGGTCTCCAAATTCAATCATTTTTTCGTTTAACTTTATATAACAGAAGTCAAAGCTTCAAAGAAACACGAATGCTCTTTACATCTGTGACTGTGTGTTTAATATGGGTTGATAACAGGATATTTTGACAGTGGTAGTAGTTCTCGTGCTCACATTTTGAGGTGAAGGAGCCATCGGGGACTCTACTCGCTACATCGCTGAAGACAAAACATCATCGATATAAGTAGGGAGGTAAGATGACTACTAAAATCAAGTCAAGCCTGAGGCCGATGAAGTTCAAAACAGTGACGAACTCGCCACGGCAGCTGCGAAAATGCCCGTGATCGTCGAATAGAAGTCGTCGAGAGGTCAGGTCACGAGACCTTGCATCGACGGTACTCGTTGCTATCAGCAAGGTGACACAACCGCACTGTACCGTCGTTGAACATCCGCTGCAGCCTCAAACGGACTTCAGTTTCACACTGTCGAGTTCAGAAAAAAAAACTCCGACTAGTACATCAAATCGTGCCGATAAGAACAGTCGTCTCTTCGTATCGCCTGCCCCAGCCTGCCCCGTTACGGCAATGAACGAACCTGGCATAGTAGTCGTTACGATTTGTCGTCGCCACGAATGAAAGATATAAAGCAAAATATTCCTAAAAAATCGCGATCACCAAAAAAGTTACGGTTATGGAACGATACAGTTTTCTGAAGCCAAGATTCTACTCGCGAGGTTAGGAAAAACTCGGAAAACGAAAGAAATTAAATTTTCGTTGTTTTATTGCTTAAAAGCGCCGCAATCTAATGCGAACGGCAGAGGAGTCGACAATCAGCTGATCGCCAAGATCATGTACTGCCACAATTAACGCGCTGATCGAATTGAAGGATACGCGCTGCAAGTGAAAATAAACAAGGTGGTAAACAACAATACGTTACGGTTATGCGAAAATTAGTAAGTACAAACGAATAAGCTCGTTGACAGAAGAACCAACGGGAAGACAGACGTGAGCCCCGTGAGCCCCACAGACCCACAGCTCCGTACGTATCTCGGTTAGGGCTAACACGCCTTGAGAGTGGAGAGCCAACTTGAAAACAAGGGTCGATGAACACTTCACGCGACAATTTTTTGCATCCTTGTCACAATCGAAGGTCATTTTGTCGAGACTTTCACGCTGATGTAGCCTAAAACACTTTGCACAACCAATTTCGTCCACCGCTTCGACCGCGACAAACCAGCCGCCACGTTTTTAATCCATTATTAAGAAACAACCAAAAGCAAAGCGGCCAATGTTGAGCGCTCAAGTTAAGCGTAGTTTAGTGCTAGGTTTAGCGATAAGCGAGTTTGGTGCAACCGAACGAAACCGAAACTAAGCTTAGGTTCTCGGCTAAGCTCCGCTTTGTGCCAAGCGGCGTTGGTGCAACCGGCACTAAGCATGGTATTTCACCAGGCTTAATGCCTCGGGGGACAAATCTGTGCAGGGATGTGCACGGCGTAGAACACCGGGTGCAATTTTCTAATCATTGTTAATGCCGACGAGGTGCCCTGAGGGGGGGGGGGGGGGGGGGGGGGATGTTTGCAGACCAGTGTAGCGGATTCCACACTTTACACCCCCGCAATGGAATGCAGCAAGGATTACATTTGATTTTTTTTTTAAACGAACTGAACCAACCTTAAACCAGGGTTGTATTCGGCGCGTGAGCATCACCCCCGCCTTCAGCCCTTCAGCCGCGTAGCTGACTCCCATGGCGCCTCATCGCAAAAACACATTATCGTCGCGTAATTCGCAAGTTGGAAAGAAACCTTCGAAATTTTCCCTCGTGTGAATGCCACTGAGAGCACCGGAGAGACGACGCTAATAATCCTTGCAAAAGGAGAAGGGGGACAAGGACCAACACAAATCTCCAAACACAGGTAGGTGACGAGTGCGCGACCGAAAAAATCCGCTACCAGACATATAGCCATGTTTGGAAATTTGTGTCCGTTCTTTGACCCCCTTGTTCTCCTTCTCCAAGGATTATTAGCGTCATTATTGTCAAGGTCCCTTGTACCTTTGCATTTATTTACATTATAATATTAACCTGAGAGATAATCACTGGAATATACGAAAGGATCGGGGCGAATGCCATCACTGAAGGTATGTTTAGGCCTAAAAATAGTGTCAGTTGCGACACTAGGCATGGTATTTCACCATGCTTAAAGCCACGGCACAGACGAAACGGCCAGCATCTGTTCACAAGTTGATGGCCCGCAAGAGGTTCGCCCAAGGCTCTTCGCGCGTGCTCCGTGTCACCCTGGGGCGGGGCGTGGTGGAGGCCGCGGTTCCGGGCTTGGCAGCGCGGGGTGCACCACACACAGCGGTGCGCTCGCGTGTTTGGGCTTGTGGCTGGGGCCTCCGCCGTGGTCTGCGTGGGGGTGGGGTGGGGCACAGCGAGGTTTTTTATCTTCCCCTCTGGGTTATGATTATTCGTTGTTTTTATACATGTATATATGTTATCTTGCACTTACGACTGCTGTTTGTTTATGTTTACACCTACTCAGCGGCGGGCTAGCAGGCGCACATGCGTAAGGGTACCAACCTTTCTGTCTAGCCTTGCACGCCGCTGAGTGGGCAAACTTTCTCGTGCAAATAAAAATTATTATTATTATTATTATTATTATATATTTTTTCATCTCTAGTTATAATTTCAGCCTTTGCTGCGGTTGTTTCTCTCAAGTGCTTTGCGGCGAAGCAGACGCTCCAGATATTTGAGAAAATAGTTTTGGACAGGGGCTTATGTCGCCAGGCCTTTGTCTTTCCTACTTACAGAGCATTGCGATGTCCCCGACAAGGCTCAGCTGGAAGACAAGCTAGACAAGCTAATCCGAAAACTCCCCGAGGAGCACGTGGCCATCCAGACAGAAGTGGCAATACTGCATCGCGCCATCTTCTTAGAAGAGGGAACTCTATTTGGCCTTAACCTCCTCCAGCAAGACAGACCCTACAAGACGTTTTGCCGCGGAAAGGACACAGTCAGCGTCTTCAGCGTGCGTTCCAGGTACTCCCTGCGGATGCACATCGCCTGGAGGCTTTGTTCGGGAGTCAACGGCACCTTCACCTCTAAGGCTAACCTTGTGAGGTTTGAAGGAGAGCTGGTGACGACGAAGACAGATTCTGGCACAGAATATAGAATTAGAAATGTAATTCCGGTGGTACTGGAAGGCTTGCACATCGGAATCAACGGCGTTGGAGACACCGTGGATGAAATTTCGAACGCACTGGGAGTTATCCTTTCGGGACTCGCAAGAATACTTTGGGTCCAAGGAATAACACCTTTCGTCGAAGAAGCGTTTCAGCAAGCTCTGAATGACCTGAATTAATCCCGCACGTGTCCCCGCTTCCAGAGTCATTCACCTATTCCAAGCACAAGTTGGTTTCACGGCACTTAGCATGACAATCAATTTTTTAGGGCGTTTTTGTACATTATTTCAATAAAGTAACAAAAATATTACCCATTGTTTCTTTTTTTTTTTCGTTTTGAAGGAGTGGTCCTTAAGAAATTGTCTTGAAACAATATCCCGGCATTCTAGAATACGCTTTCAATTTCCTCCATCCCGCAAGTGCTGTGTTACAATGCACAAATAATAACAAGGTATTACTAATCAACTGCAGATTTTCACGATGCTCGCATGCAATTGCGGGGGTAAGTGGCATTTATTTCTTCAGAAGAAATTTCGCATTTTGGTTTTCTATAGATTAAACAAAGGTTCTTCTTATTGGCCGCTAAGAAAAAATGTTACATTCTCGCTAAAACAAGAGCGATATTAAGGGGACGGAGGGGGGCAATTTACCCACTTACGCCACTCAAAAATGAATTCTTAATGAGATACTCCAGTCTGATAAGGAAGAAATTATTGCTTTTTGGTGAAATGGCCAACATTAGATTGACAAAATTGATCTGGGCGACGATTTGCCGGCGATGTCACATCCGTCTCTAAATTCAAATCTCTCTGCAAAACCCCCCCTCCCTCCAGCCAAATCCCCCCCACCCACCCACCCTCCTCCCACCTTGCCCAAGCCTGACCCAGATATCCGCCAGTACCTTTAGGATTTAAAATAATCACTCGGTAAAGAAAAATCACGACAGAATGGTAAATGTGCATGAAGGGAATGTCCTACATATGCTATAGTACGTCGTAGCTTCAACGAGTTTAAACGCGGCCACCTGGACGTGCAAGACGACCCGAGGCCAGGCTGTCAAGCACTTCGACTTATTAGGATAATTCAGCCGAAGTTGAGAGACTGATCATGAAAACTTGCCGATTGAAGGTGTCCAAAGTATGAACATTTCGTATGACAGAGCTCTCACAAGCATTGATGAAGTTCGGGGTATGCAGAAGATCCCGGCACGGTGGGTGCTGCGAAACCTCTTGATGATCAAGGGAGCTTTTGAGCCTCTATGAAGGAGCCCCAGAATATTTTCCTGCCCGTTTTCTGACTAGGGATGAGACGTAGATTTATCGGTTGGACCCATGAACGTGACGTAAACCTCTTTGGTACCTCTTTTTACAACCATCGATAACCAATACTAATGGCAAAGCACATACCACTAGAACAAAATGGCGTCGTTCAGTTTGATCTTCTGTTGTGCGCCACCATTCGCTTCCTAAAACCTGCATCGTCACGCAGTTTGCGCTTCAAGGGAATGTAGCTGCTTGTAGGAAGCTCTAATCTAGGAACTTTAGCGTGACCTCGTTGATCGCCATAGCGGTTGTTCTGAAACGTCATCACGTTTTTTCGCCCACAGATATGGAGGCACATTGTTCTTGCCTTCCGGAAACAGTTCAATAGGTCCCTCCCTTCGAGGTCTGTAGCAGGCTGGGGCGATGCTCGTTTCGGCGACATTGAAAAACTCGGTGTTCGACTCTGTGGTGTACCAACAACAATGTCTAGTGGTTTCCTTACCCCTGGGTCTTGATGAGGACGCAGTTGGTCGATGTGGCGTCGAACCGCAGCCGTTATGCATGGTTTCCACGTTACCTGACGTCACGTGACCTACAATCATGCAGTTTCCCCGCTAAATTTGGCGAAAAAATATATGTCACGTGACACACGAATCCCTCACGCCACACCTCTCCTCTCTTTCATTTATTTGTTTCTCCCCGCCCCTTCCTGCTCTTAGATAACCCTATGTTATGTTGCTACCAGGCTGTTTTACAGCATTTCATGCATTATGTTTATCATTATATATATTTATTTATTTGGTACTTCCAGTGAATTCTGGCATTTAGTGGGGGGCGCGGGGGAGGGGGGACAGAGATAAAAAAGTGATACGAGCAAAAAAAAAAGTCATATTATTAGGTAAGCACCTTCGACAAATTTTTAAAACCCCGCGAGATCAAAAGTACTTCACCACTCCTTGCGACATCCATGGCACTCTTCAGATTTTGCGTCTCTCAACGCACTCAATCACACTTCGCGACAGTTAAAAGAAATAAACGCTACACGAAACCTTATCGCACCGAGTACACCAAGATCTGCAGCACCTATCCATAAAAATAATTATAGTCTACCGTGTTAACCTCTGGCTGGGATTTATCCTTTACGCAATCATATCAATTCAATGTCCCTACCGTTTGAAAAGCAGTATAAGAAGTATCGTTTGATAAAGCAGAGACAAATATTGAAAGTAATTTGTTCTACTTGCGCACTGTTTTTGGAAAACAATTGAACTCTCAAAGTCCGCAGTGTTGCACCTTTATTCAGTCACTTTATGAATACAATCCACATGCCCGGATAGGTAATATGGGGGAAACAGGTAGGTTTCACGTGGGATGCCAGTATTGCAATCTGTTTGGTAGTAATTCAGGATTTTAGGAGTTCAGCTTTCAATTGTCTAGAAATTGTTTTCTTTCTGTGTATCTGCTAGGTAAATTTGTATTTTTCCGCCCGCGCACCTGCTGGGTAAATTCCTAATACTATTTATTGCCACGTTTCGATACTTGTGAACTCCATTATAATATTTATCTTTCTAATTAAATGATCGCTTTAATTAAACAACCGTTGTTTAAAAAGTTACGCCCACTTTATTGGCAAGGCCTCACCAGAGTGTAGTCCTGTCGACTGGTCAGCAGAGGCCAGATTCACGAAACGATCTTACGCCAAAAGTGTTCGTAAGACAAACCTTAAGAACAAATTCGTATCCATGAAACGAAATTTTCGTAAGTTTTGCGCAGGTTACGACGAAATCCTACGACAGCTCCAAAGCTGGCTTAAAGGGGCCCTGCAACAACTTTTTGACTGGTTTTTAATTTGCACCGAACCTGAGCGCACACAACGTAGAAACGTAGAAATGGCGTCGTTCAGTTCGGTCTTGTGCTGTGCGCCGCCATTCGCTTCCTAAAACCTGCATCGTCACGCAGTTTGCGCTTCAAGGGAATGTAGCTACTTGTAGGAAGCTCTGATCTAGGAACTTTAGCGTGACCTCGTTGATCGCCATAGCGGTTGTTCTGAAACGTCATCACGTTTTTTCGCCAACAGATATGGAGGCACATTGTTCTTGCCTTTCGGAAACAGCTCAATAGGTCCCTCCCCTTTGAGGTCTGTACCAGGCTGGGGCGATGCTTCTTCTGGTGACATGGAAAAACTCGGTGTTCGACTCGGTGGTGTACCAACAACAATATCTAGTGGTTTCCTTGCCGCTGGGTCTTGATGAGGACGCAGCTGGTCGATGTGGCGTCGAACCGCAGCCGTTATGGTTTCCACGTTACCTAACGTCACGTGACCTACAAACATGCAGTTTCCCCGCTAAATTTAGTGAAAAAATACACGTCACGTGACACACAAATCCCCTCACGCCACACCTCTCCTCTCTTTTATTTCTATTTCTCTCCCCACCCGTTCTCGCTCCTAGCAACACCTTCCAAATAACCCAGGTTATATTGCTACCAGGCTGTTTCACAACATTTAACGCATTATATATATACTATAAAAATATTTATTTATTCAGTTCCTGCAGTGAATTTCGGCGTTTAGCCGGGAGGGGGGGGGGAAAGTGATACGAGCAAAAAAAAAATTTAGCAAATTAACTGGTAAGCATCTTGAGCTAATTTTGAAAACCGCGAAATTTAATTTTTAAAACCTTAAATCACACTTCGTGACAGTTAAAACAAATATACGATACACGAAGCCTTATCGCTCTGAGTACACCAAGATCTGCTGCACCTATGCATAAAAATAATTATAATCTACTGTGTTAACTTCTGCCTGGAATTTATGCTCTACGCAATCATATCAACTGAATGACCCTACCGTTTCAAAAGCAGTAAAAAAGGCATCGTTTGATAAAGCAGACAAAAATATAAGGTAAAATTTGTTCTACTGGCGCACTGTTTTTGGATTACAAAATGAACTCTCAAAACCCGCAGTGTTGCACCTTTATTCAATCACTCTATGAATACTAGCGACATGCCCGGATAGGTAATATGGAGGAAACAGGTAGGTTTAACGTGGGATGCCAGCCTTGGAGTGAAATATACAATGGAAAAACATTCAACGAAGCCTAGCTCTGCGGCATTCCAGTGTATTCCAGTTCAACAGTCGTCTTGGGGGTGTTGCACTAAACTCTCTATCTTTAAAAAAAAATTCCTAAAACATACCTTGCCGCTAGATTTCAAACTTTTTCTAATTTAATTTTATCTAGACTAGTTGGTGGTCCCACACAGCGCAGTGATATTCGGATATTGGTATTACGTTTGTTTTATATAATAGTTCCCGCGTAACCTGTGGAAAGTTACCAGGGTTTCGGCGCAAGAAACCTTACTATTTGGAAGCTTTCGCTATGGTATAATCTACATGCCGCTGCCAGCTCACCGAGGATGTAGGGAGTACACTTAGAAGCTTGCTATCTGAAACCGATTTTAAGCGACTGTTGCTGATATCATAACGAGAACTGGTGTTTTTGTTTTCTAGAAAAAGCCTTGCACACGGTTTTATCTAGGTTCAACTTAAACCGCCATTTTCCGCGGCATTTATTTATATATAAACTAAATCCCTTTGAATAATGGAATCGTTACTATGACATGTAACGTCTCAATATAATATGCAATCGTCTGCGAACATTTTAATGCAAGAAGTGACGAACTCATTAAGCCCATGGACATGAATTTAAAATGATAAAGGTTCAAAACCGGCCTCTGTGGAACTTCTGATGTTACTTTTGAAATTCTCGATTTACTTTCATTTACTACAACATACTGGCAGCTTCAGTTCAAATATTCGGGAATCCAGGCGATAACTTGATAATGAGATATTATAATTTAATAACGTTTCTAGAAATAACTTCTCGGGTACCATGCCTCAACCGGTTTACTAAAGTCCA